GGGGGGGGTTACCATTAACGAGACAATACCGGACTATACCAACCCTCTCATCAGAAGTGTAACACAACTCTCGGACAGCTATACCCCCCCCCCCCTCCCCACGAGTCATTATCGCTGATGGCCACAAAACGGGAGTTGGGGGGTTGGGGTGGGGTTGAGGAGGGAGAAATGGCTCGCTAACACCAGGCGGCGCTCCCGCCCCCGCGGTCCAGACGGCTGCTGCCGGGCTCTCCGAGGCGCCGCAGCGCACCCCCGCCCGCCCGCCCTCTCCCCTAACCCCCGCGACATGGCAAATTGTAATTCTGTTAGTGGCAGATTACCGTGAGCGATGCGATGGGATGGTGGGCGGGCTCGATAATCCACCAGCCCAGCCTCCTCCCCCACCCCTCCCCATTCCACCTTTACCCTCGACCCGTCTCTCGCCTCTTCGAGCCCCTCCTACCCTAGACGCCGTCTCGTACCTTTCCAAACAAGGTAGACGCACGTTAAAACCGTGTGAAGCTGAGCTAAATGTGCGTCTACCTTGGCCTGCGGCGCGCTAAAATTAAAATGTTTTCGCGATTTTGGTTGCATGCCTGTCCACCTCACATCCCATGTCTCACGCCAGGCGCCTCACTTCACGCCGTCTTCCGGGCTGTCTCCCCTTGCGCTTCCTGACAGAGCTGAGCATTTAAAGCTAAAGTTTAATTTCAAGTTCAAGTTAAGCTCAGCAATAACTTTTGCAACTATCACGGCTTGTACTGGCCATCTGTACATCTACCAAAAATTACTTGTCCCTGTCCCCCTCTATTTTCTAAGATTCATTCAGAAAACGTCGGGAGCTCGGCGCCTGCGAGAGTCAGGGTAGGCCACCCCGCCGTGCACGCATGCGCTGCAGGCGATGTGTTGCCTACCTGTTAGGCGCTTTGAGAGCTCGCATGGGCACTCGACAAGCGAATGACGGACTTTCACTCTCTGGATGCTCCCTCATTTAAGTGCGGCCCACTAAAAGACAAACTAACTGAGAACCTCTTTGTGTGAATCTGTGGCTAAAGGTCTGTCTGTCTCGATTCGGTAGGTGTAGCATTTCGTCTGCCATTGCGCTATGAACCGATCCTCGCAACCGCTGCCGCGCGCACACAAACGCCGCCCACTCACGAGGGGATCGCCACACCCGTGTGAAAACACACCTGCTCGCAGAAGAGGAAGGCAAAGGCCTGGCCGGTCCGCAGCGGGTGGGCCGAGCTCGGGGGCAGAGGCAGACAGCGCGGCGCTGCAGGGGCGGGGTTGCGGCGCAGGGGCGGGGATCGGTCAAGATTACACGGAAACGCGGGTGGAAGCGCGGCCCCGGTGAGGAGTGGGAGGGGTGAGGTAGAGAAACAGGAGCGGTGAAAGGCGAGGTGGTAAGCCAAGGCCATAGAGGATTCCCCTGCACTTCACGACACAATGATAGAGGGGCTTCTTCGCCCACCACTGAGACGCTCTCCTCTGCGCAGCTGCAGTGGCGGACTTTGTCTCTAGCCGGCTGCGTCAGGCCACCGCCGTGAGGATAGGCACCCCATCGTACGCGTTGGATGGCGCTGCTGCCGACACCAGAAGCAGTGTCATTAGAACTAAAACTCTATACCGACTTTTATATATTAAGCCCTTGCTTGCAAGTTCATTTTTACGAAGTAGCTGATTGCTGACGGCCAAAAACGCCCGTTTAGAGGATGAGTGGTGCGATGGTTCTGTGGTTCGAATATCGGCCGCCGATAATTTTCCCGTTCAAATTGGTTTTACAATAGTTTGACAGCAATCATCTGGCTTGTCAACTCTCTCGCAAATGAATAAATAAATAAGTCATTGAAATTGCACTGCCCCCTTCTATTAGAAAGTCCTGCCCACTTATTGCCCGTCTCCGATTGATGTAGTCATGTTCCGTTCCGTTCGGGTCTCTCCGCTCTGCGTTTCAAAATTTCGAAAAAGACGCCCAACGTGGGGCTCGAACCCACGACCCTGGGATTAAGA